TGTGCACGCACTATGGATTAGGATTCAGAGCTAGCTTTATTCTAGAACTCTCCCTACTAATACAGATAACACAATTCTGAATAAACAAACAAACAACAACTACTAAATAAATAAATAAAACAGTCAAGAAAGTTTTCCTCTGCAAAATTTTTTCCTGCATAGTGGCAAGGAAAGGGAACCGTCCATTGGATGGGAGACTACTACCACTTTTGACCTTTTCTTTTTCCCTCCATATCCAGTCCATCAAGACACCGCCTGATTTGTTTCAGTTTTCCCAGTTAGAAGCAGAGTCTGCCAATTCTGCATCCATGGTCTCTGCTGCTCTCTACTTCCCCTGGCGTTGTCCCTCACCTGAACTCTTGTAACGACTTTGTAAGTTATCTTCCTGATTGTGTCTTTCTCTCCCGACAGTGTCTTTTCAACACAAGAGGCAAAAGAAACATTCTGCAAACACCCTTCACCAAGTCCATATGCACTGACCTTCCATGGCAGCTTTACACAACCCCGCCTCTGCCCCACCCTTCCTCCCTTTGCTTCAGCCTCTCAGGATGCCTCACTCACTGCTCCCGGAAGATGCCAGACCCCATCTTAACCTGGGGGATTCTGTTCCAGTTGCTCAGCTTTGTGACGCCATCACATTTGACAAGAATGGGGTGAGGTTAATGTCAGTGTCCTACTTTGAAGGGTTAAAAAGCCTGTGTGATGAGAAAGACTAGAAGCCACCTTTCTCCGTCCAATAGGGCCAACCAGAGCTTCCTGGAGCCTTGGCCATGTGAGTGTCAGCATTAAAGAGGTCACAGCAAGGGAAGAAAAGGCAGTCCTAAAGTCTGAGAGTAGACTATCGGGCAGCCACTCAGCACTGACTCAAGGGACCTGGAAGACACTACAAAGGAAAAGGGAAGGGAACGGGGCAACAACTGCGATCTTCACAGGAGGCTGAGTTGGGCTACTAGAAAATTCCTTCTGATGTTAGTCTGGCACCGTTTTAGTGGCGTCTTGCAATTAGCCTGCATATTTACTCCTATTGTAAGCTGGCCTATGTAGTTTAACAGTATGTGTTTGAGAAGGCTTTGAATTTTGACATCTTTTGAACATATGTGTATGACATTCTGAATTGGATGACTCAATTTAAAACTACCCAGAAATAAGGTTATATTGTAAGCAGTCAGTGTTACATTGTTTCAAAGACAATCCCCACCCCCAAAATGGGAGGTAGGTACACACAAAGGTCTGTTGATGTTTGTGTTTGTGACACTTACATATCAACAATGAAAAGTGCATCTCTATTTCCAGTTTCAATTTCATTGTCACAGTGTGGCCTGATGCATGGCTCAATACAGTACTTAGGAATCCAGGGCTCCTTATTTCTGAGGAATAATTCATAAATCTATTTTGTTTTGTTTTGCTTTTTATTTGTTTTTTGTTTCTCTTGTGTATGTGTGAAGCTGAGAGTTGAATCTGGGGCTTTGAGCCTTTAATGTTAAATCTGAAGGCCATTAGATACAAGTCCTTTAGATGGTGAATGGAGCCATGGGAAGGTGCTGTGGCTCCATGGTGACAGAGCTGGTGCATCCCCTCCCCCCATAATGTCTGTCGCCTTGGAGGTGACACTGAGGTGGCTGGGTCAGTTTTTACAGCTCCAGTTTCATGTAGACAAATAATAACACCATTGCTTAAAAATTTTAAGATGTGGGGGAGATCCTGTCCCAAAGATGAACAAGGCCTGAGGGATCCCAACTAAGGTTGTCCTCTGGCCTCCATAAATATGTACACATGTGCAAAACCAACCATACACACACACACACACACACACACCACACACACTTCTAAGGGGTGTGTGACACAATTCTAGGTGTGTGTGTTTCATTTTCCCCCTCTTCATTATATATGCTGTTTAAGAACAGTTAGTAGTCATTTTGCATGGTGCTTAGAATCAATAAGCAAGAAAGATCTCAGGGGGTAGGCAGTGAGAGGGAGTTCTATGTGGGAAGTGATTACCAACACCATAGCAACCAAGGGCCTATGAGAAGTAGGTCATTGAACTCAGAGTACTTAGAGCCAAGGAGCACCACTTACAGCACCACCTACATGAAGGGTACTTCAGAGGTTGTATATTGTCCATACCCTGTCATTATAGCTGGAGTCCTGGTTGAACTTGGTCTTAAACTGAGGGAGCAATCTACTCCCACCTAGATGCTAGGGACCCAAGCCCTGGAAATGGCACTCCTGTCAGGCCACTGGTACTCTTGACTCCCAAACTGTGTTCACATTTTTTACTCTTTTTAAAATTAAAATCTAATTTCATGTATTATTATTATTATGGTTTTGTTTTGTTTGTTTTACAAGATAGGGCTTCTCTGTAGCTTTGGAGCCTGTCCTGGAACTCGCTTCATAGACCAGGCTGGTCTCCAACTCACAGAGATCTGTCTGTTTCTGCCTCCCGAACACTGGGATTAAAGGGTGCGCCACCACTGCCCTGCTCATGTATTATTATTATTTTATTTGTGTATAGTGTGCTGTGCGTGCATGTGTGTGTGTGAGTGAGTGTGTGTGCACTTATGTGCCACAGTATGCATGTGGAGGTCAGACATCTACTCTCAGAAACTGTTCTCTCCTGATACCTTGTTGAGACACGGTCTCTCTTACTGACCCTGTAGTTATGTGTCCTGCAAGGCAGCTAGCCCAGAAGATTCCAGGAGGTTTTCCTGTCTCTGCCTCCCATATGTCTGTTGGAGTCCATATCTCTGTAGGAGTACTACAATTACAGATGTGAGCCGCCACTTTGGCCTTTTTGTGGGTTCCAGGTATCAAACACAGGTCATTAGGGTTCAGTTAACAGGAAAATAGTCTTTGCTTATTACCAGTTGAGCTAGGTTGAAATGTTAAGCACTTAAAAGCCGGGTGAGCTGTTTGGCCAGTACATAAGGTATCGTCTGTAGATCTCTTTGGGGGTTTTCCTCTCCAAACCAAATAAAAAGGATTCTATTGACTTTTTCTATGAATGCCCTTGGTAATTCACATATAGCACAGGATTTACAATTTTAATAGGCAGGGCTAATATTCAAAGGGACAGAGCAGTGCATGGTTTGGACTTAAGCATTTTCTACATATAACCAGAAGAAAGGACTAAAATATCATCTGTTTTTAGAAGCTATTTCACAGCATGAATGTATTTCCCCCAGGAAGAGAGTCAAAAGAGTGCATCCCCTTAACAACTGCATTTCAATATCTCATCAAGGAATGCACACAAAACCATTCAGGATCATTTTCTTCCAAAGGCATCTGAAGTCATATGTCATTAAAATATAAGTCTACCACTTCTGCCTGGAGAAACGAATCCACTGCCTGGTTTGGGTAATACAATAGAATCCAGAAAGTAAAGAGAACTAGCTGCATGAGAGATTGGGTGTACACAACTTTTAAAATTAGTTCTTCAATTGTCACTGATGCTTTGAATGCAGCAGAGCTACAAATCACTCCTCACAAAAGAGAGGTAATTATCATTTGGACCATGGTGACCTGAAATGGAGCCCATCAGCAAAGGGCAAATAAGTCACAAACTGAACCTCACTATTCAAGCACTGTGAAGTCTCTGAAATGCGGCAAGCATTTCATTATGTATAGCTTAGGTATTGAGCGTTTCAAAAAAGATGGAGGAGTTTTCATTCCTTTTTAAAAACTCCTACCCTCTGTGGACCTACCATTTGGTCTATGGCACAATGCACAGAGGTCTATTATTAGTGGGAGAACTTCATGGGTTCACAAAGCAGAACCCTGTTAATATATAAACAAACACACTGGCTCTAAGGCACCCATCTGTATCCTACCTCCTTGAAACCACCCTTCTGCACCCTGCCTCCTTGAAACCGCCCTTCTGCACCCTGCCTCCTTGAAACCGCCCTTCTGCATCCTGCCTCCTTGAAACCGCCCTTCTGCACCCTGCCTCCTTAAGACCTAAAAGGAAACAAAAGAAGTCCCAGTGTGAACAAAAAATGGCCAAGAACAAGAGCAACAACTCCCCCCCCCCCGACCCCCCATACACACAGGTGACCTGCTTCCATATTGCTCAACTATTTCTGTAAAGGAGACAATTGGAGTTCATTTTGTAATTATTTTTGCTCATTGGGTCCTATGGCAGTTTGAATCCTACTGCTGAAGAAACTATGCCAAGATCTTTCATTAGCATACCATAGATTTTCTTTTCATTATAAATCAAACTAAATAGGTCATGATTACCTAATTACTATGCAAAGTATCGCCTCTGGGAATCACACGCATTCTCTGAAAGCTGAAATTCTTTTCAGTGCTTTGAAGTCTGATTCTTCCCAGCTAACTTGCCACAGCTAATCATTCTCTCTTGTTCAGATTTTTTATCTGATAAGATATAGAATGTGTGTTAGAATGGGAGTCATGGACACTAATACAGTGGGCTTTAATTAATTTAGGGGGAAATAGTTGTCAACACTCTTTCCAACATATGATTAATAAGCCCCCTCCCCCACTTTCTCTCAGCAGCCAAGCGAACAGGGTTAGGGAAAGATTTGCTCCTGAAATTATACGGTTGATAATCTTATCTCTCCTCACTCCTAAGGGATTGGCTCTTCTCTACTAAGGAAAGTTCAACTTCATTCCTAAAGGTTAGTAAGACCACAATCATTGGATGTATTAATCTCCAAGTCCAATCCTACAGCTTTCAATGATATCCATGGTTAAATGACTTACACACACACACACACACACTCACACACACACACACACATCTGTGTCTTTAACTGTTCTCAGATTGTCCTCACAGTCTGGCATTTCTTTCTGGAGTAGTTCAGACATGGTCAAAACAGGTCACTGAGTGCCAGCTCCACCTCTGTGTCTCAGTCCTCCTGATGACAGCAGAGAGTCCCTGCAAGCCAGTAAAGCACCTGGCACCATACAAGATATACACCACTAAATCACTGTTGCCTATCACGTTGGTACTGACACGGTCTCATTCCCTGTGTACACAGAATTCAGGCTGTCGTAAGTGCAGCCCACGAAGTCACAGCCATGCTCTACTGACCTTGAAGTATGGACCGAATGGACGCTGTGCTGTTCAAGCATCTGCGTGAGTCATACCCCATTACTTTGCTTCCCTCATCAGCTATCTCCAAGTGACTGGGATGTCTTGGTCAGACTGACCTCCAGATCCTCCCCCTGCTATCCATGACTCTTGCTTACATTAGTCCCATGAATGATTTTCCAATTCCCACCCGTACCCCTGCACAATCTATTACATAATCGAATGGAAATGATCCATAAATGTGCGTCAGCCCAGGCTATTTCCTGATTCAAACTTTCCAGTAGCATCTAAAGCCCTTGGCATTGAGTTATCACTTGCCCTAGAGGCCTTAGAGGCTCACATACAGCACACTGCAGACAGCCTAGACTTTCTTGAGAGATAACTGTCAAGTTGGAAGTGTAGGCCCCAGCCCCTTGCATCTATCCCAGCTGCCAGGCCTGGTCTGGACTCCAAATCCCAGCAGGCCAGGTCCTGACCCCTCCCTGGGGATGGGGTCAGGACCACTCCCCAGGGTATTAAAGTGATCTCCCAAAAGAGAAACACATGGTCTTCTTTTCTTCCTCCCAGGGGTCGCATTTCCGTTGCTTTCTGGTTTTCCAATCAGGGCCACCCGAGAGTGCAGAACTCCCATTAAACCTGGATATTTCTTGATTTGGCTTGATTGGAAATTTTGCATCAGCAGGGAGCTTATGTTAGGAAATATTCCTAACAACGACTTTTGGTTCCCAGAAGCTTCAAAGGTTGTTCATGCCTCAGAGTCTTGGTGTCCACTTTTTCTCAGCTTGAAAGCTCTTCTCTAGATCATTTAGCCTTGGATCTTTCCAGTCTGCCAGGTGTCTGTTAGAATCAGGCTTTAGAACAAGATTGTCCTGCCTGGGACACCATATCAGCAGCCTCAGCCCTCTCTTCCAAGTCTCTAACTGGCAGATCACCCTCTACTGTTATCCTCACAGCACTTCCTGGTCAGCCCTTCCTGGCAGTTCCTCACAGGTTGTTCCTGGCAGTTCCTCACTAGTTGATTTCATTATTTGTTTCTTCCTTGTTCCCTTTCCACACTGACAGAAAGGTAGGCACTTACAAATCACAATCCCAGAGAACCAAGTCAACTATGAGGACCCTAAAAGAGACTTACATAGATCTAATCTATGTGGGAAGTAGAAAAAGATAAGATCTCCTGAGTAAATTTGGAGCACTTGGTCTATGGGAGAGGGCTGAAGGGGAAGGGAGAGGCAGGGAGGTGAGCAGAGAAAAATGTAGAGCTCAATTAAATCAATTTTTAAAAATGGTAGAAAAGAAAAAAAGAATATGAGACTCTCGGAAACTTAAGCCGATAAATGCAAATTTTAATTTAAAAAGAAAAAGATTGATAGAAATATTCCTCTCTGAACCAGAGTTATGCTTAAGTGGCAAACATATGTAGATGCTATGAGGTTTCTTCAAGGTGTCCATGGAGTATATGAAGCAGCTAGGTCCATTTGTCTGGCTGCTTGGTGGATAGTTCTTCACTCAAAGAGGCCATGGCACCAGCTAAGGTCTAATAGCTGTCAATTTGAGGACAAATGTTCCTCCCCAGTACCCTAACTTTGTAAAGGAAACAAACATGAAAGGAGTGCTTGCAATGATAAAGACTTATATTAACATCAAAAAAAGAAAGAAAGAAAGAAAGAAAGAAAGAAAGAAAGAAAGAAAGAAAGAAAGAAAAGCACTTGTCAATCCTATTATCCTGAGGTCTAGAGTAGCCTGGAGGTAGTAAGTACCTAACTGTAGACATTCATTAGCACTTGTTGGATAAATAACTGGGTAGGACCCTTTAATGGCTTTCTGATCCCTGAAGAATAAAGATAACTTTCTGCCTCTCCTCCCAAACTAAGAACACTAACTGCATCGATGGGCTTTTTAGGAGTAGAGCCTTCTCTCCTGCGGTGCCATCACTGGCTGTCACCCTCAAGAGGCACCACCTGTCTCTCTTGGACTGATTACATTCTGGGGACTCCTGGGAAACCCTGCTCTACCCAAGCCCTGGAGTGGCCATATCGACACAAAAATCTCCTATCCTGTTTCACACTCCCACAGTGCTTTGTATTTATCATTCCTGAACAAACCAAACAAAACTCTTATCTTTCTAATTCTATAACCCCAGGGACTAAATCTGTGCTGTTCATCCAAGAAGTTTTCCACCCAGTAGACTGCTTGGCTATACCAATTTGTTTTTCAGACACGAAAACACAGAGACTACCCATTCTTCCCGGCATGAATAGCCTGAAGACTTCCTGGAACCTGCCTGCTGTGAGTCCACATTCCAGGATGCACGCACCTCTCTCCTCTTCCTGCCCCCATCCCAGCTTGGCACACTGGACACACCCTGCACAGCTATTCCTTCCTCTCCTTCCTCCCCACTTTCAGCCACTAAACTACTGTGCTCACATTTGGTTATCTAACTCCTGAAGTGATTAGGGAAGGTCAGATGAAGCAATTCTTCTTATTCCTATACCCCAGAGCGAAGTTTAGATTAGTGTGACTCGAAAGCCAGATACCTAAATTCAGTACAGAGGGAACTAGACATAGGGAACTGGATGGTGTTCAGCCACACACTGTCAGGAAAATTCATTGGTATTTGTCATTGAAGGGCAAAGACAGAAACCCAGACCATTGATAGATAAACATATTTAATCTAGTGCCTGATGCTCCACCATCCTTTCCTGGAGGTTGTTGCTATGGTGGCCTTGCAGTGCTATTTTAAGTTGATGCACACAGATATGTGGTTTATAACTTTTTTGCAGCTATCATCAGAGGAGGAGGGAAGGTTGGCTAGCAAGCCTCTGGAAAGAAACTTCAAAGACCCTGGAATTCATGCTCTCTTCCTCTAGGATGCATCCTAGCTAGATGAAGCTTTGGACAAGTGCACCTAGCAACCCAGAGGGCACATGGACCACACCGCAGGTGAAGAGAAACAACTGTTCACATGGAAATGAAGGCAGATACTCTGGGGAGCTTCAGGCTTCTTTCAGGTCCAGCTCCTCATACAAAGGGCATCTTCCACAGCGCCGCAAGTTCTTAGACATCACTGCTTAAGAACTAGCAGGTGAAATTAGCATCTCCCCAAAATGGAAATAGTTGCTGTCAATCATTGGTGGTACTTCTTACTGCCAGGTACTAAGCTCAGGGGCAGAGAACTGCAAAGAGAAAAACTGATTTCCACATAGGTACTAGACGAACATGGAGACAGTATTTTCACATGCTAATGAATGAAGCGGGAAAAAATGCATAACTCAATGGCAAAAGAATTCTTGAAGACTGACCTTGGGACTAAAGTTAAGGCTTGGGATAGGAAGCCCTTGGGATTTCCCATCAGCCACTAGTACTCCACACACAAAAAGAAGAAAAAAAAAACTTATATGTAATACCTTTTCCACATAAGAGCAGCTAACAAGGGAAATATTTAAATCATCAAAAAGAGCCATATATGGGTCTAATTTCAGCATGTGAAATTTTATTTGTGTTTTTAAATTTCAGGTACTTTATAATAAAGTCTTAACAAAAATATTTTTTAAAAAAGATTCATAGCTAAACATCTCACGTATGTTAAAAAAGAATCCAATATGTTCACCTGTACAAAATAAGAACATTGCAAGCCAAACAACTTGTAGGTCCAAGTCCAACTTCAACTGTTCTCTACAAGAGAAACATAAGGTATATTTCCAAAGAGAAGAGGCCAGAGCTTTCCTTTTAGTTAGTTTCCCACAATCTGTATAAGAACTGTGAATGAATTTTTAGATTAATTGAAAATAGAAGCTGGGCTGTGATGGTGCATGCCTTTAATTCCAGCACTCGGGAAGCAGAGGCAGATGGATCTCTGTGAGTTCGAGGCCAGCCTGGTCTACAAGAGTTAGTTCCAGGACAGGCTCCAAAGCTACCGAGAAAGTCTCAAAAAAGCAGGGAAAAAATGAAAATATATAGCGAATGTCTCATATTCTGAAAAAAGAAAACCCTGTCCATTTACAGTTTCTGAGGAAAGATGATGAGAGACTGAGGAGATGCCTCAACTGAGGAAGCACCTGTTATAGATGCACGAGGACTTGGGTTTGTATCCCTAAGAACCTACCAACAAATTGAGCACTACAGCATGTGCCTGTAACCCCACTGCTGGAGAGATCCCGAGAGATCTCAAGATCCAGAGAGTTCACCGACAATAGGAATTGATAAGCTCCAAGTACAGTAAAATGTTTTTGACTTTGGCTCAATAGATAATATGGAAGATGATCCAGCATCTGCAGAACCTATGTGGCTTATAGCTGCAAGGCTTGACACAGACCTCACAGGGCAGATCACATGAGGGGTTAGAATTCTCCCTCGACAAGCAGGGTCTGGGCCTATGCGAGTGCACCATGATGCTCAGACATTCATTCAAGTCTCTCAGTTCGAAAAGACCGACCGAGGAGAACTAACACAAAGCCAAGGGGAAAGTCAATAAGCAGTGAAAAACTTTCCTCCATTGAGTGTTCAGAACATGGTTATCCTCAACAGGGGTGGAGTGAGGGTGTCTGTGTCTGGCTCCATGCCAAAGTTCAGCCCTCTCTATTAATATTCCCTTCATTTCCGTCATCTCTTACAAAAGTCCTGATTCTGGGACTCTATAACAATTCATTGTGCCACCTTTCAAATTTTGGAAAACCAGCATCCCCAAGTATCATCAGGAGACAAGTGTGTAGACTCTGTGTTGTCCCCTAAGGATTTGTGAGCAATTTCAGGCATGTGTTCTAGCGCTTTACCCCATTCCCTGCTGTTTGTCATCACTTTTGTGTCCTGCTCTGATGAACGACACTTATCTTGAACAGAACAGAAAACTGGCAATGATGAACTAACTCTGTCAGAGGCCTACACATCCCTTGTTCCAGGAAACAGCTAACTTCGAAACACAGTCCTGCCCTGATGCCAGCCAAAGATGCCTGAGGGCCACAAATCTTTTTTCACATGGGCTAACGCTGGTCGGATGTGACGATTGCCAGAGGGATGAGCAGGCAACTCTAACTTTACTACTGTCTCATTCCAAAGCCAAGTCTCCTGGCCTTTCCATCCCATGATAATTGATAGTCACCAAGGTAACAGGATCAGCAAGAGACACAACAAGAGTAAAAAGAAGAAGCACTCAACTTTCCGGGAAGCCTCTGCCCATTCCCAGGAGACATGAGATAGAGGTACCAACTCATTCCAGTCAGAATGGCTAACTTCAATAAATAACTCTGACAGCAAATGTTGAAAAGGAGGTGGAGAGATAGGAATCTAATCCAGTCTTGGTGGGGTACAAATTAATATATGCATTGTGGAAATCAGTTTTGAGATTTCCCAAATATTAAAAATAGAACTATCATATGACCCAATTATTTCATTCCTAGGAATATCCCAAGAATC